GACAAAAATGAATCACTGTCACAACAGTTGTTGTAAATTCATTTCATTACATATGTTTTATGTAAGTTTTCAAAAGTGTGACAATCTGACTATTGACTGTTGACGAGTAAGTAATTCACATCTAAATGCGGGAGGCCCCATTAGCATTAAAAGATTGCCCCTGATGCCCCATCTTCATTGTTTCTCCTTACAAAAAACATCCATGAAAGTGTGAAAAAGATCGTTTTCATTCATGGCAGGTTTGCAATCAACACCAATAAAACATATTCACACAAAGCCATCTGTTGGGCACTGATGCTGCATGTAGCCTACACAAACACACAACAACACAAACACTCACACACGTGTGTGCTCATACTCACATGGTGTTTTGTGAAGAAGTGTCACAATTCTGTTGATGTTTATGTGTTTATATTTATTCTCTCCATATGCTTTAAGTACATAGCTAGAATCGATTTTTTACACTTAAGCCCTGGCCACACCAGAAAGTGGAATTACAAAGTTCATCCAAGCATCCTCGTGAAATAGGTGTTTGTACCATTGACTCTTGTTTCCTAACTGTCTGCAGATCATGCCTCTTTTGCAGCAGAGCAGGGTTATATAAAAGTGGCTGGTGGAACTCAGCTCATAAGCTGAGCCAGATGTCTCTGTTTTGGATTGTCTTTGTCTCCATTCTCTTAAACGGTCAGCACTGTACAGACCATATGATATTGATCAGTGGCATGAGTTTGTTCACAAGCTGGACATAAACTATGGAGTAGTGAGGATTTATTGGGCTGCAGCGAATGCAATGATATGATTCCTCTGTTTATGCTTGTGTGACTAGGCGAATCATAAGCTTATCTATGAATAAAAGGGATGCATATACAGTAGATTAAAAAGATATAACATAAGCCTGGATGTGCAAGGCACACATCTCAAATAGTTGTTTTTTTTTAAATATCCTAATCTCCTGTGATCTCTAACTGAAAGGTCGTTTTAATATGAGGTGGAACTGAATTCTCCACCTATGAAATGCCATGTCTTTGCAAGACACCTGAAGAGCAAAGCGAAGGCGCAAAGGGCATATATGGGAGAAAATAGGCAGAACATTTGAGAGCAGCATTAGAAAAACGGCCTAAGAGGTTAAAAGATGAATAAAAATGTTGGTGGGAAAATATCAAATACCCCAACCCGGGGGAGTCGTCGCTTGAGCCTTCTCATAGGACTCTCTTGGTTTCACACCATGCACCAACTCCTGAATAAGCTGCTCTTTTCTATTCTTCCCTACACACAGCCGCCATGCACTTTCATTTTCATACTGATGCAAACTGAGCAGGAGACCTCACGTCAAGCTCCTTCGAGCTTTCATACATTCTGTATTGGGCACTACAGGAAACAGATGCACTTAGTCTTCTGTGTTCATACGGCTGATGATACAGCCTCTAACAAGTGAAGCTAAAGCCACTGCACTGCTGCAGATTGGCCCTCTCAAGGATTTCATTTCTAAAAGGATCACTCAAGTGATGTGGCAAGTCAATTTGACAATAATGAAAGGTAGCACTAACAAGTGCAGACTCCTGATAAAGACAGCCTGCAGTGAGAGACTCCAGTGAAGTGAGGGAATGGGGAACTAGCTCTAAAGAAAACCAGCCAACCATGAAATGCCCAACCTTTACACTGGAGAGATGGTAGGAGACTGTATTAGCAGGACAGAAAAACAACAAAATCAGCAGTAGGGAGTTGCATTCTCTGGTACCATCATTTCATCATGTTTAACAAAACTATACAACTCAAGACTTCCTTGTTTGCTTTTAGGGATTTAATACCATAGTCCCTACAGAATAATTAAGATTTTTATGTTTTTATCTCATTTGAATTTCTCTGCTTTTGTATAAGGACTTTTATTACAGTTATCTAGATATTACCACAAAGCCTGTTTCCCCTACCTTCTACAACAAGCAAGAGGAGAAATTCCTTTCCTCTTATTACATTTCAGAAGAAATGCCCGTTCCAGGGAGCAGCCTGGAGGAGAAATTAGCCGAGAGTTTATTGGCTTAGATACAAAAGGAGCAGATTAAAAAGGGTTGAGATGATTGAACTCTCCTTTATTCCATGGTGTGTCCTTTGTGCCAGGCTGCACAGTCACTTTGATGCTATCTCTGTCATTTGAGCCATACGCTGCGCCTTGGGTGCTTCACACAAAAGAATATGATGCACTACCAGAAGCCCTGAATGGGCTTTCCATCTAGTTCCTGAAAGAGTGTTACTCTCCTTTTGATTCACCTCATCTGTTTTAAAATTGAATATCATTCATTTCTAAAGTACGTCAAAAGCCTCTGTAATGTATTTAATATTTAATATTGTGAAAGAATAACAACTGACCAAGTGAATTCTAGTTAATAAAAATGGCTGGGCTTCAGGGAAATGATGCCATATTGAGAAAGAATACTTCTTCCAATAAAAACAGGTTGTTTTTTTGCTGATTTTCCCTACATGCTGTGTGCACAGACCAACTCCAAATCAACATGTTCTCCTGCATTAATATAACCCTCAAAGTAGTTTCTAAAAATGTGAGTGCTCTATAATCAAATACCCATAATGGGTAAAAAAGGTCGACTGCCAGATCCTCGCTATCAAAGGATCTTGGAAACAGAGCGATAATGGGAGGAATGGTTGTACCTTGCTTACAGAGTAGAAGAGAAGAGGCAGAAAGAAAGAGGGAGGAGGAGATGGAGGAGGATGAGGAACATCTTACAAGGCTGCCATTACCCGAGTAATTCACACACTACGGAGCAAAGAAAGACCTTTGAGTGGGTGGCTGGATAGTTGAGGTCTGATCAGAATCTCCATTAGCACAGAAATAAGCTGCAAATGGAGCTGCTTGAAGAGAGGAGCAGGGCAAACTGTGCTGAAGGAACACAACGCCCCGACTGGGCTCAACAAGGCCCACATCACGGCACTTCTGCCTGGACTAAACATGTCTAGTGGCTAGC